ATATACTTTTTTCTCAAACTTCCTGCACCTTCCTTGGAAAATATCGATTGGAAAGTAGCTTTAAAAATTTGTTTTTATTGCTCCGCACAATTTTTGCGGAACATTTGAACGACTGTAGTCCATTACAAAGCAGCCATCGATATGGATTTTATTTTTCATTTAGTTTTTTTTCGATTTTTTTGTCGAACATTTGAGCTGTTAGTCCATCTGGCCTCAAGTGGTTGTGGATAAGTTAAAGATGAGATGAGAACGAAAAACAACAACAACTACAAAGCCAAGTAAAGTTCATTTAAACAGAAACAACAACATTGTTTAGTTGAACATTTGTTTATTCATGTTCGTGCTGCTGCAGTAGCAGCAGCATCATCAACAGGATCCGCATAGTTCGTCGTTCAATGGCACCTGTATCCTTGACTAAAAAAAGAAGAAAAGAGCAGAAAAATAACAAACAGAAAAACTCGGTTATTATTTCATGAAACGGTCATTGCCTTGGCTATTTATTGCGCTCTCCACACAACCAACACCACCACAGGGCAGGCGGGTAGGTACTCATGTCCTATTCGCTGAATTCTGTAGTAGCTTAGGTCAGGTTGGCTGGTTGGCTTGGCTATTGGACTTAATGTTATTGCAGCACTACAACTTGAGAACAATTTTATAATTGCCTTAATACAAAAAACCAACAACAACAACTACAATTGTTGCCGTTAGTTAGCTATTGGTGGGATGCTCTTGACTTCTTTTTTTGCGCTATCGGAGCTTTTAATCCTCTTCTTGACTTCTTTGTTGTAATTTTATGAAAGTTTGTTGTTGTTGGAACTACTACTGCTCCATTTCCTCCTCCTCCTGATCAACCTCAACCACAAAGTACCACTTCCACTTGACTTGATTTTGTGACTAAGAAGCATAGCCAGAGCCTTCAATTATCTGCCATAGCATAAACAGACCGGACAAGCCCTCGGGCAAATGGTCTTAATTAGTAATCACGTTCATGTGCAGAGCCATAAAAAAATTATTAAAGGTTCCACTGTCGCATGCCATGACATTCCATTGCATTTTGAAATTCTCATCACCATCGTCATCATCGTTCATTGTCTCTTCGGTCTGTCCCACCTGAGGCGGCAAGTTTTCCTTTAATTGAGTGATAACAAGACAAGAGCACTATGTTATCGTGTCGTTCCAGTTCATAGAGGATAACTTGATGCAGTACCTCCCAACCTGCTCCGCCCAGTTTTGTGTGTGAATATCAGGATGACCACCATGCTGTGCATCGGAATCAGGTAATTGGAAAAGCTGTAAATGTGTCAAATGTCGAAAAGTTTTAGCATGACAATTTCTTCAACAATTATGCACGGAAATCAATAAAATTCCAATTAAGGGCATTAACTATGGCACACACACACATAAACATACATGCAAATAACCAATCACACACATACACGCTCACTCACAAATTGGCATACATAAATACAGGTGTTCACTCCCATAAATTCATGTCAGTGTGGTGTAGTTACTAAGGCTTCCACAACAGCTGGAAGTAATGACATTTATCCTATGTGCAGGATATAAAAGAAGGATAAAATTGCCAAAAGGAGAGAAAATTAAATCGTGACAAAAATTATAAGGACTTTTAAATGAATCAAAATATTTTTCAAGGATCCAACAAAGGCGTGGATTTTTAAAAGAATTTTTTTCAAGGACTACCAAAGGTGTGGATTTTTAAAAGAATCTTTTTTCAAGGACTACCAATTGCCAAAAGGAGAGAAAATTAAATCGTGACAAAAATTATAAGGACTTTTAAATGAATCAAAATATTTTTCAAGGATCCAACAAAGGCGTGGATTTTTAAAAGAATTTTTTTTCAAGGACTACCAAAGGCGTGGATTTTTAAAAGAATCTTTTTTCAAGGACTACCAAAGGCGTGGATTTTTAAAAGAATCTTTTTTCAAGGACTACCAAAGGCGTGGATTTTTAAAAGAATCTTTTTTCAAGGATCCAACAAAGGCGTTGATTTTTATAAGAATCTTTTTTCAAGGATCCAACAAAGGCGTGGATTTTTAAAAGAATCTTTTTTCAAGGACTACCAAAGGCGTAGATTTTTAAAAGAATCTTGTTTCAAGGACCCAACAAAGGCGTGGATTATTAAAAGAATATTTTTTGAAGGACCCAACAAAGGCATGGATTATTAAAAGAATATTTTTTCAAGGACCCAACAAGGGTGTGGATTTTTAAAAGAATATTTTTTTCAAGCTCTACCAAAGGCGTGGATTTTTAAAAGAATATTTTTTTCAAGGACTACCAAAGGCGTGGATTTTTAAAAGGATCTTTTTGAAAGGACAACCAAAGGCGTGGATTTTTAAAAGAATCTTTTTGAAAGGACTACCAAAGGCGTGGATTTTTAAAAGAATCTTTTTTCAAGGACTATCAAAGGCGTGGATTTTTAAAAGAATCTTTTTGAAAGGTTTCTAAAAGAATATTTTTTAAAGGCCTAAGAAGTCGTAGGATTTCTAAAAGAATATTTTTTAAAGGCCCACTACAAGGCGTGGATTTCTAAAAGAATATTTTTTAAAGGCCCACTACAAGGCGTGGATTTCTAAAAGATTTCTAAAAGAATATTTTTTAAAGGCCCACTACAAGGCGTGGATTTCTAAAAGAATATTTTTTAAAGGCCCACTACAAGGCGTGGATTTCTAAAAGAATATTTTTTAAAGGCCCACTACAAGGCGTGGATTTCTAAAAGAATATTTTTTAAAGGCCCACTACAAGGCGTGGATTTCTAAAAGAATATTTTTTAAAGGCCCACTACAAGGCGTGGATTTCTAAAAGAATATTTTTTGTGTCTTTCAGAGGCGTGGGGTTTTAGAAGAGTATTTTTTGGGTCTTTCAGAGGCGTGGGGTTTTAAAAGAATATTTTTTGGGGTCTTTTTGGGGTCTTTCAGAGGCGTGGGGTTTTAAAAGAATATTTTTTGGGGTATGTTACTAACTTACCACATGTGTTTGCAATAGCAGGGCATTCTCCTTATCCACCTCAATTGTATCCTTTGTCGTCTGCTTTCCCTCCCCATCCTTAGCTTCAAAATCAATTAGCATTTTTCCATCACCACCTCCGCCGGCCATAAAGCGTTCGGCAAATTTAATCAAGGCCTGTAAACCGACCACTGTATCCTGTGTCGAATCGAAACCACCCAAACTGTTACGTTGACCAACCAACCATTGGATGATCGGCAATAATTTTCCAGCCTCTTCCGTTTCCGTTAGAGATTGTAAAATATAGGCGGTAACTTCGATGTCATTGGAGTGATCCTTATTTTCATTGGACCACCATTTTAGAGAATTTTTAAATGTGGCTGCCTTTTCAAGTTTTTCCATTAATTTCGGGACATCAGGGTGGCGGACCTTGTTGAGAACCACAGCGGCAATGGAGAGGGCATAAATGTTGTCTTCAGTGGCAATGTGATCGCCAAGGTATTTGAGACCCTGTTGAATTTGTGATTTGTATTTGGCGGCATAGTCCTGCAAAGAGGGGAGAGAAGGGAGGGGTTTATATTATTTTTTTTTTTTTTTTGTATTGCAGATTGCATTGCTTACCTCATTCTCCAGGAAGGCCATTAGCACAAATGCCGTGAATCCAACATCATTTTGATGGGCGGGATGGAAAAGTTTACCCTTTTGTGGAAAATGACCATCCTCCTCCTGGGTCTTGGCCAAGAAATCCAAGGCCTGATCAATCACAGCTCCATCAATGGTAATATATTTCCGAGCTTGGATAAACGATCTGGCCACATAGGCGGTTAACCAACTATTCGGCTCACTGTGACCCTCACCAAAAGCACTGTAGGCGCCATTTTTGTGTTTATAGGTCAACTCCCGTTGATATCCCGATTCCATATAACTTTTCGCTTTCTGTTCAATCAATGGCATATCCTTTTTAATTGCATCCAAATAGTAAAGGACCAATATATTCGGTACAAAATTCACCATATTCTGTTCGCCACAGCCATAGGGCATTCGCACCAATTTATCGATATTTTTAATTGTGGGTCCTAGAATATCACCCACGGCCGAGAATTCCAAATATTCGGAATCCAACACGGCATCCTTTGGTATGGCAGCACTCAAATCGTGTTTCACAACTTCACCGCCATCCTTCGCGTCCTCCTTCTTCTTGTTGCCGATATTTACAAAAATGGCATGATTTTCATATTGCGTAACACCTTCGGGTTCCACTTTTAATTTCTGATGTATGGCATCACCGGCCAAGGGTGTAATGGCCTTAATTTTCAACGTAATATCACCCACCTTGTTGGGACGAATCATAAAGGAGACAGTTTGACCACCATTTGCCGGTACATTAACCGTCTTGGTTCTTTGCTTCTCCTCCAGCACAGATTCCTCGATGTCATTTGTCGCCTCTGTGAAGTCATATTCCTGATCGGTATTTTCCATGGTCACTTCGGCTTGTAGCGACTTTTCCATATAATTGAAAACGACAATGGGTATGGCGATAACTTCACCACGTTTCACCGAATACGGGAGGTTGGTGCTCAAGAAGAACGGTTGGAATACCTTAATTTTGGTGGGATTTGCAGTCATGGCAAAACCGGTTTTGTCGTTCATTGCGAAACCGGTAACCACCCATGAGGTAATGGTGTCTGGTATTTTTTTGGTCAGCTGAGCCATGCCAGAGGCATCGGTGCTATATGGGGAGGGGGAAAAGAGAATTAGTTTCGAGTTATTTACTCTCACAACAACAAAAACATACAACACAAAAAAGCTTCCAGGAACCACAAAAATACTAGGGTGCATATAGGGTGTTAGAAATGGATGATAGAATGTTGAAATTAGTATAATTTTTTTCTTGTTAAAAGCAAGGATATCTATGCCCAAGCAGCAGTGAGTTATGAGTGAATATTTTCATGTCAAAATATGGTTGTTTTTATATGTGTTAAATGAAATGAAAAAAGCAGCGGATGACAGCAGGGTAGCAGGTAGGAATGAATGGCTGAGTTTTGATAGATATTTAAAGGCATTGTAGAAATTGTATTTGTTGGGAATAAAGCCTTCTTGAGACCTTATCCCTAATTTTTTTGTGTACTATAAACAACGATGTAGACAATAACTATACAGACTCGATTTTTTAACTAGATTTTTTTTCCGATCCGTTCGATTTCATTTAAAGGTGCATTAAACTCTCAAAAGTTTGTGCGATTGCGACGAAATTTTGTACAGCTTATCTGATTGAGACTAGAATTTTGTATAATAAGTTTCGTTGAAATCGGTTCGGATTTAGATATAGCACCCATATATATTTTCCTAAGATTTCATAAAAATGGTGCACCAAACTCCCAAGGTCTGATCGATTTAGGCGAAATCGTATTAAATTGAGTTTAGAATGGTGTGTGTTAAGTTTCATTGATTGCTTCAGATCGCTTTAGATTTAGATATAGCTCCAATATATATTTTCGTCCGATCTGATATAAATGGTGTACCAAACACCCAAAGTTTGTCTGATTAATACGAAATTTTGTACAGAATATTAAATTATGTTTAGAATGACAGGTATTAATCGCTTCAGATATAGCTCCCATATATATTTTCCGCGGATTTTAGGTAAGTGGTGTACCAAAGGTTGGTTCGATTGTGGCGAAATTTTAGAAAGACCTGAGTTAAATTTCGTTGAAATCGATTAAGATTTATATATAGCTCCCATATATATTTTCCGCCGATTTTAGGTAAATGGTGCACCAAGGACTCCAGGTTTGTTCGATTGTGACGAAATTTTGCACAGCGTTCCGTATTCAGGCTAGAATGACATGTGTTAAGTTCCATTGAAATCGCTTCCAATTTAGATATACCTCCCATATACATTTTGATCCGATTTCATGTAAATTGTTCGAAAAAGATCCAGGCTTGTTCAATTTACCGGAAATGTTGTATAACGTACCGTATTGTGTCTAGAATAACGCGGAAATCGGCACAGAATTAAATATAGCTTCTATATATAATGGTGAAGCATAGACCCAAGAACCCAAAAAATTACATCTCTTCTGAGCTTAATGAGGTTTAGTTGACTGCTGTTGACAAGTCGGTGCTTCAGAGGCACAGTACAATTATGAAGAAAGCAGTCACAAGTGGAATCCCCAAAGCTAGACGACAACAATACGTCTTCGAGAAAAATCGAAAGCTATAACCGAGAAGGAAATTTTAGAAATTAGGAATCACGTGAAGGGTCGTGAAGAAAAATGGATGAGACAATCCACACAGAGTCGTAATCTTCAAACCTTTGTGGAAAACGCTACAACCAAAAGGGCGAAACCCTGGACAAAGAAGACTGCCTACGATACGTCGACAAAAACTCAAAAAGATGACGTGGATGTATGATAGAGGCTATCCAAACACATCTCTAAGGAAACTCCTAGTCGAAAGAATTCCAACCTCGCGTACAGCGGTAACCAACGTCGAGACCTCTAGGTTGTGACTAATTATAACCACATTACGGAATCAGAAACCCGGAATTAGAATAGCAACGCTATTTTAGCAGTAGCTGATGTGGCAGTGAAGAGGATGAGATCTACCGTGAGACAGGAGAATTGAACCTTCGGTTTCCCATGCCTTGATCGCGGCAGAGAAGGGAAATGGGAAGATTTCAAAGGGAAGGCGAAAGTCGGGTCAAGGTAAGACTTCATTTGCTAAGCCAAGCCCGAAACATTCCCAAAATACAAGTAGGCAGATGACTACTAGAGATTAGCGCTGAGCCCAATGGGCACATCAGCGAAAGTCATTGACAGATGCTCGATCGTCAACTCAAGATCATCTTCATCTCGGTCGAGGCAGATTGTCGGAGCTTATTTTTTCGAAGGATTACACTTTATAAAGGGGTCAAGGTAATAATCTGTCGAAATAAAGAGTCTGTCGATTTCCTTGAGAAGTCGAGGATTTAAAAAAAAAATCAGGACCCAAGTAAGGAGTTACGTACAAATCCGAACAATGCGTGATTTTTTAACATATTTTTAAAGATAGTTTTTTTGGGTCCAGTCAAGGCGTAGATTTTTTAACTAATATTTATTCAGGATACCACTAAGGCCAAGCCGTGAATTTAAAAAAAAAATATTTTTAAGGCGTCCAACCTAGACGTGCATTTAAAAAAAATATTTTTCAGGGTACATGCAAGGCGTAGATTTTCAAAAATATATATTTATTAGGTTCCAACAAAAGCATAGATTTTTAAACAATATGTTTTAAGGTTCAACAAAAGCGTGGGTCTAAAAAAATATTTTTTCAGGGCATGGGTTTCCAACCAATGCGTGAATTTAAAAGAAAATTGTTTCAGTGTCCAACTAAGGAGTGGATTTAAAAAAAAAAAAAATATGGAATTCAAACAAGTCTTGGATGTTTGAAGATCATTTTTTCAAGGACTAAAAAAGGCTTTGATTTGTAAAGAATATTTTCCAGGGTCCCAGACAAAGTTTGGATTTTTAAAGAATATGTTTTAGGTGATATGACTTCTTCGTATATACAAATATACATACATTATATTTACATAAACAAAAATGAAATATTTACAAATAAATTAAATAAATAGAAATTGCAATGTATTTACAAACAAATATATATATATAAATAAAAGAAAAAATAATGCTCAAGTGTTTTTTTTTCAATTATTTTGTATAAAACTTGATCGGAATGAAATATATTTACATATGACCATTGAATTTCAATACTACTACTTCTGAGGGATGGGGAAAGAAGCTTACCTACACTACATAGAAAATTCCCTTTCCAAGATAGAAAGAACAACTAAATCATACTTAAAATGTTTCAATTTACTTTTTCCCATTCAGATTAGACCAAATCCAAACATCTATAAAATTGCTACGAATTTCTGACTCAGACAGCGGATCTTCAAAACCCATGCCAGTTACAATTTGATGCAAGGGCTTGTGACCGTGTTTGAACTTCTTAATAGGATTTATGGGAACTATAAAAAGAAGAGAAAAATAGGAAATAAATAAGAAGAGGAAAAGGCGAAGAAATACAAGACGGAGAGTGAGAGTGTGTGAGAGAGAAAGAGACAATTGAAGAATTCCGAAATAATTAGTATATAGTAAATGTAGTAAAAGAGAAACATTTCAAAAACGCTCTCAGAGTACAAAAAAATTTGAAAAGTTCAGGAACGGAAATATAGTAAATATGCCAAAATTAGATGGCAATACATCAAAATAAACATAACAGTCAATCAGAAGTAGGCATTCCTGTTTACCATTTTATGCGGCCAAATTTCTCGAGTAAAAAGTTTACAAAGAGAACGCCATTTTGTTTTGTGTTCTCTTAAATTTGATTCAATGTTTTGACAGTTTTGTGGGTTCAGGAATGGTTTATGAGTAATAAGTTCCAAAAATTGTAAAATTAGTAGATTCTTTTACGTTCTGGAATGAAACTATAATGTTTTATTTGAATTATCAATTTGAGATACCTAAATACGTGTACCGACTGTCATACGTAAGTAAATTCTATTGCAATTAATAAAATTTGGAAAAAATTTCCAATTCCAAAAATTGTTATATAAATATATTTTATGAAATTAACCGATTCTAAAATATTACACTGCATATATTTGTAAAAGACCGAATACATAATATTGAATTCATGCAATTTTTTCAGGGTCTAACCAAGGCGTGGATTTTTTAAAGAATATTTTTTTCAAGGCCTGCCCAAGGCGTGGATTTTGTAAAGAAGACTTTTTCAGGGTCCTTTACAAGGCGTGGCTTTTTAAAGAAGACTTTTCAGGGTCCTTTACAAGGCGTGGATTTTTTAAAGAACACTTTTTCAGGGTCCTTTACAAGGCGTGGATTTTTTAAAGAATATTTTTTCAGGGTCCTTTACAAGGCGTGGATTTATTAAAGAATATTTTTTCGAGGGTCTAACCAAGGCGTGGATTTATTAAAGAATATTTTTTCAGGGTCTAACCAAGGCGTGGATTTTATAAAGAATATTTTTTCAGGGTCTAACCAAGGCGTGGATTTTATAAAGAATATTTTTTCAGGGTCTAACCAAGGCGTGGATTTTATAAAGAATATTTTTTCAGGGTCTAACCAAGGCGTGGATTTTATAAAGAATATTTTTTCAGGGTCTAACCAAGGCGTGGATTTTTTAAAGAATATTTTTTCAGGGTCCTTTACAAGGCGTGGATTTATTAAAGAATATTTTTTCAGGGTCTAACCAAGGCGTGGATTTATTAAAGAATATTTTTTCAGGGTCTAACCAAGGCGTGGATTTATTAAAGAATATTTTTTCAGGGTCTAACCAAGGCGTGGATTTATTAAAGAATATTTTTTCAGGGTCTAACCAAGGCGTGGATTTTTTAAAGAATATTTTTTCAGGGTCCTTTACAAGGCGTGGATTTATTAAAGAATATTTTTTCAGGGTCCTTTACAAGGCGTGGATTTATTAAAGAATATTTTTTCAGGGTCCTTTACAAGGCGTGGATTTATTAAAGAATAGTTTTTCAGGGTCCTTTACAAGGCGTGGATTTATTAAAGAATAGTTTTTCAGGGTCTATACAAGGCGTGGATTTATTAAAGAATATTTTTTCAGGGACTTTAGATGCGTGGATTTTTTAAAGAATATTTTTTCAAA